CCCAACAGCATCATATTCATTGACGATCAAAAAGAACATTTCAAGACCTTTCTTGAAATACAATGCTGTTTGTGTTAGGCTAATATTATTATGCCTACAAGGAAGACCACCTAAATAAATAATTATTCAGATTTATGCATCAACCACTGAAGTCAGTAATGATACAATGTAAGAAATCTAACAATTTCTGCAATCTGAAATTTATCAAACATGCAAGGAAGATGTATTGATAATTATAGGTGATTGGAATGTAAAAGTTGAAACAAAGAGGAAGGCTCAATGGTTGGAAAATATGACCTTGGTGAAAGAAGTAACTCTGGAGATCACATAATAAAATTTTACAAGACCATGCATTTTCCTTTGCAAATAACTTTTTTAAACAGCATAAACAGCAACTATACATATGAACATTATCATATAGTTACATATGAACACAATTGACTACATCTGTGTAAAGAGATGATAAAGAAGCTGAACATCATCAGCCTAAATAAGGCAGGAGCCAACTGTGGAGCAGACTATCAATACAAATGCAGTTTGAAGCTTAATAAAAGTGAAACAAGTAATTCCATGAGAGCCAAAATATGACTTAGAGTATGTTGTTGTTGTTGTTAAGTAACGTGGAGTCGGTTCCGACTCATAGTGACTCTGCACAGGGTTTCCGAGGCTGTAAATCTTTCCGGGAGCAAAAAGCCTCATCTTTCTCTTGCTCTCCTGAATTTAGAGACCATCTCAGGAACAGATTTGACTCACTGAATACTAATGACCAAAGATCACACAAGTGGGATGGCATATAGGAAAAAAGTAAACATATAATTAACAAGACAGGAAAGAAAGCAAAGACCAGAATGGGTGTCAGAAGAGACTGAAATTTGCTCTTGAATGTAGAGAAGCTAAGCAAATGGAAGAAAAGATAAGTAAAAGAGCTGAACAGAGGATTTCAAAGGGTAACAAGAGAAGTATACCCAGAATGCTCCTTAGGATGACAAGACTTCATGCCTCATAATTTGAACATGCCTTCAGGAGGGTCCGATCCTGGAAAAGGACATCGTGTTTAGTAAATTAAAGGTTCAGTGAAAAAGTGACCTTCAAGGAGACAGATTGACACAGTGTCAGCAACATAGGGCTCAAACAAAACAACAGTTTTAAGGAAAGTGCAGTACTGGGCAGTGTTTCCTTGTGTTGTAAATAGGTCACTATGAGTCAGAATAGACTCAACAATAATTGACAACTGAAGTGTGAAGGGTGAAGGTGTATTCATTCTCTATGTCAGAGAGAAACTTCTTGCTAATTCCTTGATGGACCTATGACAATTTTCATACCTTATTTTTAATTTTTAAAAATTTTGTAACTAGGGTATGATCTTATATCCCCACAAAACTACATGCTCCAGAAGAACAGAAACAGTGCAGGGATCATCCTTCCATCTCCATCTCTTAAATGCCCTCAACACAAATCTTAGGCAGTTCTTATGAGATGAATCAATACTTAATTAGATCATAGGTTCTCAGTTGGTGCCACTTACTGGAGTGAGGCCCAGTCTGCTGACTGAAGTGAGCATCTGCTAAAGGACCAACACCAGCTAGGAATGTGAATCATTGGGGAGTTTCCTTGAAAAACCATATTGTTGTTGCTGCTAAGTGCTTTTGAGTCAGTTCTGACTCATAACAACACTGTATAGGGTTTGCAAGGAGTGGATGTTGGGTTCTAACCACCGACCTTGAGGTTAGCAGTTTAGTGCTTACCTCAGTAGAAAACACTAAGAGTATAAAAAAATTGTACATCTCCCCAAATCTTCTATTTCTAATGCCAAATATTTATAATTCAGTTGTTGGTGTTATGTGCCGTCTAGTCGGTTCTGACTCACAGCAATCCTTTATATGGTTTTCCAAGGAGTGGCTGGTAACCTTGGACCGCCCACGTTGCAACTCAGACAATTGGTAAAATAAGCCAAAGTGTCTAGCATGATTTTTTTTCTCATTAAGTACTTATAAAGCATTTATGGGTGTGGCAGTGTGGGATAATGCACTGCACTGCAAGGTCGTTTGAACCACAACATCATGCATTATGCTTCTCTTGGATTGTTTATGGTTGTTAAGTGCCATCAAGTCGTTTCCGAACCATAGTGATCCCGTATAGGGTTTCTGAGGAGCTGTTGGTGAGTTTGAAACGCCGATCTTGTGGTTCAAACTGACCTTGCAGTCCAGCGCATTAACCCAAGCGCCACACCAGGACTCCTCTTACATTGTTCTTGTTGTTGTTAAGTGCCATCGATTCGGTTCCGACCCATAGCGACCCTGAACAGGGTTTCCGAGGTTGTAAATCTTTACAGGAGTAGAAAGCCTCATCTTTCTCCCGTGGAGCAGCTTGTAGTTTTGAACTGCTGACCTTGAGGTTCATAGCCGGATTCGTAACCACTACGTTACCAGAGCTCCTTTCTCTTAGATACTCAATAATCAAGGAATTTCCTCAATAATATCTAATACATATCATCAATTAATACATTTCTGTGTATTAAATGCCATCTTATAATTATTTTTAATCTCTATATAGAGGTATTATTATTTCATTAAGGAATGACTCTATTCTTTCTTCTGTCTTATTTTAGCTGTTAGGTGTTCCATGATTCCTGAATGTTTGATAAACATTTTTGATAATGCCTGTTATAATAGACTCTAAAACCCAGCAACCTCATACAACAATGTTTGCACTTAATATTACCTTCATAGATACAGTGACACAAGCACTTTATATAGTCACATATTAATTTGAAAGAGTTTTAAAAGAAATTTCAGAATTAAATATCTCATTTTAAAACCCAGTAGATGGCAGTACAGTGCTGTTTTCAGATTAAGAGCAACTCCAAAAATGCTATCGAGATTAAAGATATATACATTTTAAAAAAGTTAAACCATCACTGTTACTTGAATGAAAGACAACAACATTCAAATTTCCTCATTTACCTGTAAAATAAAACATGCATTTTTGTCTTGTGCGTACTTTAAGATATCTTAGTTTTAGAATGTTTCTAAATTTTCTTCAGTAAGTCCTAGAAGTTAAAATGTGTTTCTTTTTGCATCTTTATACTTCTGTATGGACAAAAAGAAGCTGAGAGCTGAAAGCTGTGTATGGGCTTCATCTTGGGTAGAGCAGAGCACATAACCCTTCGGGAGGAGTGTATGCACCTTTCACCCTAGGAATCTCTCACCCAAGAAGCAAGGAAGCTGGTCAATGGAAACTGTCTTTGGGTTTTTCCACTGTTCAGTGTACATTGATATTTTAGTGGTTTATTTTAATAATAAATGACTTCCATCAATATATTTTGCTCCACAGAATACAAATTGTAGCTTAAATCAATATTTTCTGAAAAAACTAATGTATTTATGAGTGACTGAGAGATTTTGAATAGAAACTAGAGTCCTTGTGTGGCGCTGTAGGATAATGCACTGGACAGCAAGCAAAGTCGATTTGAACCGCAAGGTCCATGGTTCAAACTCACTAGCTGCTTCTTGGAAACCCTTTACAGGGTTGCTATGACTCAGAAATGACTCGGTGGCATTTAATAACACAACAAATGTAGATACTGTGATAAACTTTTCATTATGTGGCCCTATATAATAATGTTATTGTGGTTGTTAAGTGCCTTTGAGACAGTTCAACTCACAGCAACCCTGCATAGGCTTTCTGAGGAGTAAATGATAGGTCTGAACTGCCTGCCTTGTGGTTCTCAGTGTAGTGCTGAGTCTACAGTGCCACACCATTTGTTATTGTTAAGTGTTGTTGCATCTATTCCAACTCATAGTAATCCTGTATAAGGTTTCCAAGGAGCAGCTGGTGGGTTTGAACTGCTGACCTTGGGGTTTGCTGTCTAGTGTTGATTCTACAGTGCTCAGCAGTTGACACTCCATAGGAGGTATGCTGTTATCGTTGAGCATTGTTGAACTGATTCTGACCCACAGCGACCTAGTATAAGATTTTCAAGGAGTGACTAGAGAGCTTGAACCGCCGATTTTGCCGTCTAACCAAATTTCTAGTCAAGCTTATTAACTCACAGTGTCACACCAGAAGATATAAATAGAAAGTATAAATATTCAAAATGTATTATACATTTATCAAGTTTAAAATTAACTAAGTAAATATTAACATTCAATGCAAGTAAATAATTTTTTTTCCAAAATTTAAAATTCTACATTTTCACAATTTGTCATGAAAAGGTTTGCACAAAAATTTTGTCTGAATTTGATTTGCATTTCCTTAGAATTTGTCATCATCATGAAACCAATTTTTTCATGAAATAATTCCACTTTCTTTAAAGCATAAAGTGTCCTATGTGCAAAATAAAATATTTATCAGTAAACATTCCAAATAACTTAGATATTGTTTGCCCTGAGTATGAATTCTATTTTACTTCATAGAACAATTCTGGCAAAGTGGCAAGCTTCCTGAAGTTAATAATAAATGAACTGCTTGTTTAGAAAAGAAAAATGAATTTAAAAAGACATGGTTTACTTTCATTAACTTAAATTTTAAAATGGAATATATTCCTCAAATAATATCCATAAATATTTTTATATAATACTTTTTCCTAGAACTATCAACTAAATATCTCAAAAGAAATTGGGTTTTCCTACTTTCAACCTTGTCCTTTCACAGTTTGATTGGTCTTTCTAAGGGACAGCCAGTGTCTGCTATAATAAATTGCTTCTCATGAGCAACCACTAAATATTTGTTAAATGGACAATTTAAAAAAAAAAAAATAGTTATAGAGTTCAGGAAAGTCTGAATTTTTCTAATGATTGGTCTAACTTCCTATTGTCCTTACTGCTTCCATTTATTGATTATTCAATAAAATATTTCTATTGGAACCTGTAAGTATACACTTATAAGTAAGAATCTAAAGAACAACAAAAAAATACATAATAAATAAATAGTTGCAAGTTAAATCTATTCTGTTGGAAGCTTATAAATTCCATCTTCTTCTCTTTTTTTCTTTTCTTAAGAAAATATCTCAATAGACTGCCTTCCCAATTCAAGGCCTTGTGCCAATGCTCAAAACTGCATACCGATTGCTTTATTTTGTGATGGAGAATTAAATTGCCCAGATGGCTCAGATGAAGACAATAAAACTTGTGGTAAGTAATGTTCCACATTGTTACTCTCCTTTTCTTGAACTCTCACTTTTTCTGTGTCTCTTTCCCCTCTCATCTTTATTTTATCATTTTCTTTCATTCCTTGTAGACACACAAAATCTGTGAAACAATTGAAGAATGAAATATTCCAATATTTATGTTTATAATTTATTATAAAACATAATTTTACTAACATCTTAAAGTTTCATAATGTAATACTAACCGTATTAATCTTGAGCTGAGTTCTGCTTAATGGCTCTGGAAAGCATGTCAGGAATGCTGTGATTAACACTATCATGAATGGAGAAAAGAAGAACATATTTTCCATCTCTTCTATATATTAAACTGCCACATGCTATTATGAATTTACTTTCTACACATACATTCTCACTTACACTTACAAAGCCTTTTACAAATGTTATTGTCACCATCATATGATAATATTGCTTAATTTTTGCCAATTCTATAGTCCCTAATCAGAAAGTCTCACTCCTTAATTTTGATTGTTATTCTTAGTCCATTCTTGTCATAGACACAACCAAACACAAAAATGCACATGAGTTCTAGTTATTTATGTAATGGAATAAGTGACATAATGAGTTCGGAATAATATCTTAAAGTCACCTTAATAAAACATCCATTTATTTCTAAATTTAGTCATCTGTTTAGATTGTTGATACACTAATGACAATAATGTTATATGTTATTGCTGTTAAGCTGTCAAGTCAGTTCCAATTCAGAGCAGTCCTACATAGGGTTTCCATGGATAATGTGCTGGATGGAAAGGTCAGTTTGAGTCATGAGGTTGACAGTTTAAACCCACCAGGTGCTCCCCAGAAGCCCTATACAGGGTTACTATGCATCAGAACCATCTCGATTGGCACTTTGAACCATTATTATCTGGGAGTGACTGGTGAGTTTGAGCTACAGACCTTGCTTGTGGTTAGTCTAGTGCTTATTATGCTGTGCCATAAGTTGTTGCTAAGTGCCATTGAGTCAGTCCTGACTAATAGCAACACTCCATAGGGTTTATGAGGCTGTAAATCTTTGTGGGCGCAGAAAGCCTATTCTTTATCCTGTAGAGCAGCTGGTGAATTTGAACCTCTGACCTTATGGTTTACAGTTCAATGTTTTTCCAACAAACAGGGTTTGACCTGTAAGTGCAATCATTAAACATTCAGCTGTTACCAAAAGGTTGGTGGTTCATGCTCACCAGTGTCTCTGTAGGAGAAAAGACTGGATAATCTGCTCCTGTAAAGACAATTTTAGGGCAGTTCTAGTCACTCTGTGTAGTCATCCACTAGACTGCATACAACAAAAACAAACATGCCAAGCTTGGCACTAAGTGATTTATAAATAATTTACTCTATTCATTTATGAATGAGTTCCATTTAGAAACAACTTCTAAACAAGTAATTTATTTCTGTGTGTAATATACATACAAATAAAAAGGTTATGGGAGTATGGTGACTCTAGAGATAAGCACTGGACTGCCAACCAAAAGGTCTGTGGTTTGAGTTGCCAGCCTTTCCACTGGAGAAATATGAGGATTTCTCCTTCTTTTAAGGTATAAAGCCTTGGAAACCATGTACAGGGTGTGATATGAGTTGGAACCAACTCAACAAAGACAAATTTGCTATCAAAGTGTAAAAAAAAAATAAAGGTAAGCAACATGAAAAACTGATTTGATAATTCTGACCTCTAATTATGTTCTTGAAATAATGAAACAGAATGGATAAATTGAACATTTGCTTGGTGTGAGTTGTGGTCATTTTTTTTAAATTGACAATCAATTACTCATATGCAAATTCAAACAGAAGATGAAAAAAATGAAAACAAGTCCACGAGAGCCAAAATATGACCTTGAATATATCCCACCTGAATTTAGAGATTATCTGAAGAACAGATTTGATACATTAAACACTAAAGACCAAAGACCAGAAGAGTTGTGTGATGACATCAAGAACATCATAGATGAAGAAAGTAAAAAG